TTAATTATGGTAAGATATGTGGCTCAGACGTCCAGAGCAGTTATTCTCTACCTGCTCTCCCAGACGGTCCCTGTGGAAGGTTGGTCTCCACTTCAGTGCTGTTTCCCTTCTTGGCTGCCAGGTGGAGCTGGAGGAGTGTCGGCTTCGATTGGCAGAGGAACGGAAAGCGAGAGTCAAAGCGGATGCCCTCCTCACTGAGGTATCCCCACTGTGAATGTGTGAGCTGGAGGCTTGCGGGGATGTGAGTCAACGCGGATGCCTTCCTCACTGAGGTATCCCCACTGTGAATGTGTGAGCTGGAGGCTTGCGGGGATGTGAGTGACGCGAGCAGCAGAATTGCCTATTGTGCGAGTGACCTAATGTGGTGTATTTTGTTTAGCATTTAACTAACATCTATGTCCACTGTAAACTTGTAATCACAGGCTATTTTTTAGATGGGGGGGAGCAGGGGGTTCCCATAATCAATTTTTAGACAGACAGACACACACACACACTAGTGTAACATCTGTGTGAATCTGTATAAACATCAAGGTAAATTATTTTGCTGTTAATGACAATAATAATAATGATTGTTATCTGCTTGAACTCCTCCTGTTCTGCTTATCTGGTAAAGATTTTTGTGATTCTGCTGCTGTCTCAGCTGGAGCTGGAGAACAAGCGGCTGAGGAGCATTAACCTGTCCCTGTCGGAGGCCCTACACTCCCAGCCCTCGGGGGCCAGCACCCTGGAGGACGAAGCAATGCTGGACAGCATTGAGGCGTCCTTCCAGAAGTTCCATGCCTTCCTGGACCTGCTGAAGGACGCTGGGTAGGCTGACCATCCATCAGCAGTCATAGAAAATTGCCTTGAAGACAAGAAGTTTTAGGGAGATTCTGCCTGCCAGTAGTATCGGATGCCACATATTCCACAAGGGTTTTTATAGAATTATGAAGCTCTTAAAATAAGACTTCAATTACATGATTAGGCCAATCCTTGTAATTAGTTCGATGGCCTTCAAGATGCAGGCTTGGTGCGAATCACCCTCACAGTAAATGTTACGGGAAGGTTGTTGTCTGTTTACAAGTTGATGAATGATCAGGATTTGGGTCCAGGGTGGCACAGAGACTGCAGAGTGCCCCATTATGCACGATTTGGGTTTCTCTGAGGTAGGTGTGCGGTGTCCTTGTTAGAGATTTATTGGGCGTTGTAGCCGGTATTTCAGCCATGACAGTTAATGACTCACTATAGCACTTAGCCTATGAAAATCACAGCCTTTGACCCAGTTTTTGCAGTTTATAGACCGTCTACTTGGTGTTCCTCGCTCCCCCCAGTCCTGCTGATGTACCCTTTAATCATGTAACCTGCATGTTTTTCGCACTGTCCTGCCTGCCATCCACTGTGCTTTCAGCAAACGGAAACAGAAAACAGGCCTCTGTCTCCCCCTGAGCCACTTCCAGCTATGTACTGAAACAAGTACGTGTCTTGCTTGCTAAAGGACAAGCAAGGGCTTCAGAACGAGGACAGATGTCGCATACTAAGCAGCCGACTCCATAACCCTTTTATTTTTTGTGGGGTGAGTGGTGGTAGCGATGCAGTGTAGTTTGTCTTTGAGCTGGAAGTTTGTGGCAGTAGCTGAACAGTGCCGCCCCATCGCCTGGCAGAACGGAGAGCAGAGCATGTGAACAGGACTGAGGTCAGGGGTGTTATCAGGCTCCACTCTAGCTGGTTTGATTGAAAATGAGAGCAAACTCAACTTACTCCATGTTTCAATAAGAATTATACGCCCACTTAATTGAAATGTCCTTCCCAACCGCTTATCCAGTACAAGGTCGTGGTAAGCCTGTAGCCTATACCCTATCCATGAATGGGATTCCAGGTCGTCGCAGGACACACATTCACGCACCAAGCCCACACACAGAGCTGGGCCAGGACACCAATCCACTGACCTACTGTGCCACCTTACAACCTCTTAATAGTGAAAAATATCCCATGAATTCATATGCTTTTGGCTTGAGGGATTGATATGTAGACCTTTGAGTTTGACCATTAAAAAAAAAAACATTTTACTATAAGAACAAAAAGCAGTTTGCTTGATATCTGTAAATGGTACATAATATTTGAGTAAATATGACTAGCCTGTAATTATAATTAGTGTTATATGTTTAGTTATGGTAAGATATGTGGCTCAGACGTCCACAGCAGTGTTGCTTCACTGTTTGCCTGCCTGTTTACTCTGCAGTTTCCCCTGTTATATTATGTCCCTGGGATGTTACACTTGTTTTTATTCATGACGTCTGATCATTCATCCTTTGGAGTATTTTACAGCATAATTAAATGAAATAACATGGTTGTTTTAGCTCTTCTTCCAAGGCACTTCCCAATTTTTTAAGGGTAAAGTACGGTATCGTGCGGACAGTTATCGGATGAAGTGTGTATAGTGTATACATTTTGCTTGTATTCCTGGATGTTTTTCAGGCTTGGACAGCTGGCCTCCATGGCAGGGATTGACCAGGCGGATTTTAGGCAGCTGGCCAGACCCAGTCTCACCTCCACACTGGGGATAGTGGGTGCGCAAAAGGCACTGGACCGCCTCGGTTTAGTGTCCTCAGTAAGTGCAAGTTTTCTCAGTGGGTATTAGGGAATTAATTAATTCTAACATCCAGAGTATGTGTACATGACACATACTAATGCAAAAAATACATTTGGAGTAATTTTAATGACCAGGTAACGTTTGAAGTTTTATCACTATAGTTATACAGAACTACAGAAATGACTTGGACAACTTCAGACCCTGTTGAATGGTAACATGAGCTTATGCATTGAAGGAATAAATTCAGTACAAATCTGAGTTCATCAGTTAAATAACTTGCACATATATGTGCAGCTTATCTCATTTGCACCTCGTCTATTGCAGTATCCTATTTAATTATGTTTTTTATCTTTTCTTTTATTTCATTTTATTATATTATTATGTAATTTTATTTTATTGTTTAATTTAAATGTATCTGGCTGCTATGACAACTTAATTTCCCTCCGGGGATTAATAAAGTTGTCTGTCTGTCTGTCTGCCCTGTCTGTCTGATCTAATCAGTCTATCTGTGTGTCTGATCTATCTAATCTATCTATGTTAAGGAGATAGATTAGTGCTTTTCAGATGGTAACGTGATTCTCGGTCATGTGCTCTGAATGTCCCCGAGGTCACGTCTTGCAGACACAGGACCCCAAGCTAAACAGCTCACTACCTTATCCTCTGGTCATCTGTGACTTTCTGCCCCGAAGGGATGTTTTCATTTGCCAAGTCCGTAGATGAGCAGTTTGAGAGGTGCTGATGCAACAGGCATTACTGACGAGTCTGGGGCATCCCAGAAAGTTCATGTCACATGTATAAAAGTGTCTGATATTAAGGTTTTTGGGTACGTTAGTAGCTTATGAACTCAGGTGGCAGCAGCAGTCAGGCTTTGTGACAAACCTGTGTAACTTTAGAACTTTATGATTAGACAGGAGAGCTGTCCGCCACGTCAGGACACCCGCCCAGAAGCCCTGTTGTGGGGGACTTCCTGCAGCATGTAGCCCCTGAGGAATCCAGTGACCTGAGGAACACCTGGCACACTTTCATCGTGGAGGAGCGAGGGAAACAGAGTGTTCCATCTTCCCTCTGGCCCGTAGCCCGACTGGAGTCACATGACTTGCATGGCAGCGGCTCATATGGTAACGGTTCCTGTGACAACAGATCCCACAAGGAAACTTCCAGCCAATCGAACTCCAGCAAGAGAAGTGAATCTCTGGGTTGTAGGACTTCTGGAGGGAAGCTGTCCAGGGCCCGCCTGCCTAACCCTAATGGGAGGCCGGCGTCTGGATCTGAGCTCCTGGACAACATCCACTCTCTTGGAAGCTTGTGAGCAGGGAAAGCAGGAGGGAATTCTGATTCTCCCAAAAAGCCAAGAAATCATGTTTTTGTGCCACTTTTATGTTTTTACCATGCATTCTATATACTGGGCCCACTGTATAATACAAATATTTCCAATTTTTATAACAGTGCTGTGAAAGTTTTTTTTTTTTTTTCCTTTACTGTATCTTTTTATACTTGTTGCTTTTAAATATGTTTGCCTCACTGTAGTTTAGTGTTGATCATTGTTTGCTGTGTTGCTGTCTTACCTGAGTAAGTGTATCTGTGCCTTTAACTTCACCATTACAGTTGTCCAAGCCAGAATGCATGCATGTGCACATTATAATGAATGGCCTCACTGAAACTCAATAGGAAATTGTGCATTTCGAGAAGCTCGCCTATACCTCTTTGTCACTGTTCTTGTGTTAATCAACACCTGTTCACCCATTGTCAAAACCAGTTATCCTGGTGCTGGTTTAGGTTATGCTAAAGTAAACTTGGAAAAGGCAGAGTCTGAGCCTGTGTCTTTTGAGAAATATTAAACCTGAGTCTGAAGTCAGGTCAGGATAATGGGTTTATTTAATAGTGGGGTTGCATACTCACTCTGACCTTACATATTTCAATAAATGTACTAGCTCTCAAATTAAAAGGAAAATAACTGATCTATGTACGTAAGTTTATTGATTCAGGGTTTTGATTCCATAACTATGATTCCTTTGTGACCACGTTTGCTTTGTAAATATTTTACCTTGAATTTTATTTGTGAACAATAAATATGAAAATAATTGCAATGCAGGTTATAATTTCAAATTTGTTCTCAGAAACGAATATACACAAGTTATGTAGCGTTTGTGAATATTATTTTGATTAAAGATTACATGCCAAATCATTCAACACAATAAACCTGACATGGAGAAAATGTATTACTATATCATTATTAGCCTCATGATATTCTTAGTCTGCGGGTTGAACTGATTGAGATACCACATCTACAATGTCGCAACTCTGATAGTAAATTGCAGAATTCATAGACACGTTTGACCCTGGGAAGACGCCAGCCAATCACAAGGAGGCTCGCCCGGCATTACACCTATTGGGGAGCCAGCAGCCAATGACAGCTCGGGAGACCGAGACCGGAGCCGCAGATACCCTGACGGCGGAAACCTGGGACACTTTCATCGGTGAATCTGCGGCTCGTTATACCGGAGCCTGTGACACGAATCGGCGATGGAAAATAAACGAGCGATAAATTTTGGCGCGGGACCCGCAAAACTCCCACAATCCGTAAGATTTTGTTATACGTTTAAGGTTGCATGTATTTAGCGTTATCCCAGTGTTATTTGCCTAACTATAGTAAACTGCATTTGTCTTGCTGCAACTGAGCAGTGTTACCGACGCTCGTTTCATTATGCGTTTAATTATTTTATTTTAATCTATGGATTTCTTTAAAAATCTTTCTCAATTTAGAGCATAGTTTATAGGAGGAAGCTGGAGGCTGCGCAAATTTTTTTCCTTTTTGCTGCACTTGCTTTTCTTTGTACTTCGAGTTAGAAAAGTTGCATCAGCCATTCATTGACTAGGACAAGTCTGCGATCTTCACGCCTCAGTAATGCACACCGTTGCGGGCACGCAGTCCAGTGGGCGAGATAATACTTATTTTTGTTTTTTATTTTGCGCGATTCTATTTGTTTAAAAGTTTGAGATAAATGCATGCTTAAAAAATGTTTACATTTAAATGCTTTCCCCAAAATATGGATTAGGTACTTCTGGAGGCACAAAATGAGCTGCTGAATTACAATGGAATCGGGATTAGTGTTCTGGGTGAGTTAAAATTACTTGTTGCATATCAAAACGAAGACCATCGTTAATACTTGTGTATTAAACCGTATATCTTTTCAGAAATGAGTCACCGGTCTTCAGACTTTGGAAAAATCATTAACAACACGGAAAGTCTTTTGCGCGAACTAATGTAAGTCTGTCGTATACTAATATGCCTTTGCGGTGTTCCTTGCCATGCTTTTGAAACAGAGGGTTGTCTTTGTGGTCTTTGTGTGGTCACGCAGTCTGCCTGCTGTGTTTTTCCACTGGCTAAATGGAGGCGGGGAGGGAGGGGGGCTGCACTGCTTAATGAACTGTCAAAATGGTTAGCTGACAGACAACTGCTGATGAGGTGCCTTTTTCCTCAGTTCGTTGTAATAGCGTGGCTGTATAAAATGAACAGAGATCAGGATCCTGTATTTGTTGCTGCACAGCCAACAAGTAGCAAGTCTGTCTGCCTACTGTTTATCGCCAGCATGCCACTTTTAAAGTGCCCCTTTGTTGCTTTTCTCCCGGGCAGGAACATACCGGAGAACTACAAGGTGATCTTTCTGCAGGGTGGGGGCTCTGCCCAGTTCAGTGCCGTGCCCCTCAACCTGATAGGTCTGAAGGGGGATCGCTGTGCTGATTATTTTGTCACAGGCACGTGGTCGGCCAAGGCGGCGAAGGAGGCAGAGAAGTATGGCAGGATTAACATTGTCCACCCTAAGATGGGCAGTTACACAAGTAAGCATGCCCAGTCCTCACACTGGTCAGTCTGTGTGGTGCATTATGGGAGTTCTTACCCTGTAGCCTTCCAGTGTAGGAAAATAACTTAATTTGAAATTCTTTTGAAAGATGTTAAATACTCTTGAAATAAGAATTAGTTATAGTTTCTAACTGAAAAAATAAGCAAACAAACATTACAACCATAATACTGAATTGTTGGCTTCATATAGGAGTCCTCCACTGGATTAATGATGTAACGGTGATGTTTTGCGTGTTTCTGGTTTCATGATGGCATAATCTTCTTCCCAGAGGTTCCCAGCAGCTGGACGCTGAATCCCTCAGCCTCTTACGTGTATTATTGCTCCAACGAAACAGTCCACGGGGTGGAGTACAAATCTGTCCCGGACACTAAAGGGGTCGTGCTTGTCAGTGACATGTCGTCCAACTTCCTGTCACGACCTGTCGACGTGTCAAAGGTACCTGGCAAATCAACAGATGGGTCCCGAGCTCAAACGTTAATATAATGTTAGGAGATTATAAAATATTCACTGTCCAAACACATATTTTTAGTTTGTTTCAGTGTAAAATTGGGGGTAATCATTGTAAGAACTAGTTTTTGATTTAAAAAAAAAATTGAATGAACCTGTTTTGTGTAGTACACTTTTGAGACCTTGTTCAGCAGTCACTTAGTCACCAGTTCCAGGGTCCCTAAAGTAATCAGTTATCGAAATATGATTGTCAGCCTGTCCATTTGGAGAACTTGCTGTGCTGTGCTTTACTTCACGGGGTTTCTCTGTGGAGCTTGCGAGTCCCCTGAGTGGAGGCCTTAAAGGACTCCGTGATTGTCTGGCCTGCAGTTTGGCCTGATCTTCGCTGGGGCTCAGAAGAACGTAGGCTGTGCTGGAGTAACCGTCGTCATCGTGAGAGAAGACCTCCTGGGAAAGGCGCTGAAGGAGTGCCCCGCCGTCTTGGACTACGGCGTTCAGGCCGCAAATGCCTCTCTGTACAACACCCCTCCCTGTTTCAGGTAGACCTCGGATGCCAGCTTCAGGAGTGCCCTGTTTAGCCCCGGGGCCTTATATCCCAGGTCGAGACATGCAAGAGATACACATGTCCTAGCTGTCCAATCGGGTTACAGCTTTGTGCCCCGTTCAGACTGTGGAATTAGTTCCTGTGTCTGTGACTTATGAAGAACTCTTCATCATATGTAAACAACTTACACTTTCTCAGCTTTGTTTTATGAGTTCCGTGTAGAGAGCCCACAGTTCATTTTTTCCTAGCTTTGTAAGTACACCAAAAAATCAGACTATTGGTTGAGTGAACAGATGGACCGTGACTGAAATGCAGTGTGTGTGTCCATTGGAACTGTGTACCTGAGCTCACAGATGTCTCTGATATTCATTTAGCATCTACATCATGGGTCTGGTTCTGGAGTGGATCAAGAACAATGGTGGAACTGCAGCTATGGAAAGGCTCAACAAGGAGAAATCAGGCACGATCTATGACATAATTAATGGATCCAATGGATTCTATGTGTAAGTTTCTGGGGGATGATTCAGTACCTTGGGCTAAAAATGTGCAACTAGCAGAATATCCTCTTAATCTGAAGTTATTTTATCTGCTTCTTCCGTACCATGAACGTGTATTGTGTTGTACTGTATGGATCTTAGTTGGAATGTAAATTGTTGGCCGGAAGGTGATTTGATTTAATTTTGATTATTGACTGATTCTAGATATTTGACATATTTAATCTCTTAACCACCATGGGAACTTAAGTATATATCTGTAATACAAAGACAGAAGAATCTTCATTTATATTCTGATGATTAAACTGGGAGAACAAGCCAGTGTAAATTGTCAAAAAACCAACTACTAAACTACTGAAGAAAAAAATACTTCTAAAGGGAGCGCTACCTGACTGGGGGGGGGGGGTTCCTATGGTGAAACTTGCCGAACGTGCCAGTGCAGAATGATGTCACATCATTTTATTTTTTGTGGAAAACAAAAGATTGATTTGTGGGCCAGATTTAATAATGAATTATAAATTCACTGTGAATTGGATGCACTGAGGATACTGGCCATGCATGGGGACAGCTCGAGATATTAGGACCTGAGATTCCTGAAAAGACTCTGCTGAGAGGCAGACAGACTGACTCACTGACTCATTCACTCACTGACTCATTCACTCGAGACCTCTTATAGGTCGTGAGGGAGCTAATAAAGTCCCTCACGTTCCACTACAGAAACTTGCTGATCATCCAATGCAATCATCTCCATTATTTTCATAGTTGTACCTTTAGCTCTGGTGCTGCTAACCTTCAATACTGATACAGTTGAAGTTTCGGCTGACATTGTCAGCCAAGATTGACACACCGGACCAATCCCGATATCGTCACAGCACAAAGATCATCCGGTAGCACTTAGTCAGTCTTGCTGCAATGCATATCACACCGCAGATCTGCACGATTGATATATTAGTACCCAAGTCCAATACAGCGCGGAATCACATTTGTATCTGCATGATTTTCAGTGGGAGAACTACAATGCAAGAAACACTATTTGCACGCAAAAATGTAAAATTGCTGTGCATGCCCAGCTGCATGGTAGCTGTGGCTCACCAGTCCCAACTAGATGGTACTCTCTGTTTAAAAAAGGGCTCAAAGCATCCCATAGTAAACCAAGAGCACCACCTACTGGGGTCAGAAAATACAGCAGATGGTTCATAAAGCGCTGTAAATTCATTTTGTTTGGCATAAATTGCTAGTCTTTGGAATCGCTTTCCCCTAACCCTATTTTTTCCCCATTGGATATGAGTATTTTATTAGTCCTTAAGGTAGTAATTCAAATGCATAGATCTGTAATGTCAGAATCAATTTTTCAGGGCAGAAATCCTCTTTAACAATACTTCTGCTTGCGTGTTGCGCACAATCACATTCACACACTGCATGCAGAGGCAGGAATACTGCATCCAGGTAGTGTTTCTCGCTAAGAACATATCAGTTGTAGTTCACGTAGTGCTGGGCACGCACACAGCACATATGCAACAGAATATGATGTGCGGAGGGGTACTGAAGGCAACATGGCTACAGGCTAACTACAAAAAAATGTAAAAGTAATAAAACATTGCTTTGTTTATATGATAATTTGCCAAGTATTTTTAGAGTTTTGGCATCTAAGACTTTGACCTGTGCAGTGTGTTGCGTACAAAAAGTTTGATTCTTTTAAATTTGAAAACCAGTTCAAAATGAAGGATTCGTTCATGAATCGGACATCAGGATCGCTGTTGTTGTGTGCAAATAGTGTTTCTTGCATTGTACTTCTCAAAGTTTTTCTCACTGCAACCTCATGTGTTGCATGGGATTCCCCTTGCAGTCCCTTGTCTTGGAAAAAGGTAAACTCAGATTAAGAGGATATTCTGCTAGCTGCACATTAGCCGAAATATGTATTGTGATGGACTAGCATCTCATTCTCCTGTGTTATGCCCTGTGATTCCTGGGATAGCTGGATTGATTTTTACCTTAAAATTGTTATGTAAACCACTAATAAATGTGAAGCATAGTGTAACTGCAGGCCACTTTGACATTGTTGCAGGTCTGGAGGTAGTTTTGGTCAGGTGGATTCCAGTAGATATGGCTTAATTAGTGGGCCAGGCTCTGTGTTAAGATCTACACTGGTCATTAGCTCTAACATGAAGTTCTTCTGTGTTGTGACAGTCTGATTTGTGTCAGGTTAAGGTGGACATTCAGCCTTGCTGTCTGCATTCAGGAAAGCAGTCTGTGGTTTTTTTCATGCTTGTACCCACCCAGGTGTCCGGTGGATGAGAGCTGCCGGAGCTGCATGAACATCCCGTTCCGTATCGGAAAGAAAGAGGGAGATGAAGCCCTGGAGAAGAAGTTCCTGGATGGGGCCTCCAAGTTGGGAATGATCTCCCTGAAAGGACACAGGTGCAGCATGCTCAAACCTGACCTCACACTGGAGAGTGGGGGGCACTGGCGGCAAGGTGTCACGCCTGGGGGCACGGAACT